TATGTAAATATATATACTTTATTATAATACACTATGTAATAGATAATCACATACAAATTATATATATATATAAAATTTACTAAATTATATAATTTATATATTAATTATATATAATGTACAATATATAATTTATTAAATATAATGTATTGCATTATATATAATATATTATTCTTAATTATATATTACATAAAATTATATAGATAATTTAATAATTTTTTACAATAACCCATATATAATATATAATTTATTAAAATAATATACAATATACATAATATATAAATATATGTTATATGCTATATAATGTATATATGTAAATATATATGAATGTTTCTATATATGTGTTTGTGTGTGTGTGTATATAACATATATAATTTTTTTTATCTCAAATAAAAGTCACCACTTAAACTTTTTCTGTAGTTGATTCCTGATGCTTACCCTTCTTTTCTAATTTCTGTGACAGGCTTGATTTGTTGCAGGAAGGAAGTCTGTCATTGGGAAAGGCAAAAGGTAGTTGTTTCGGCCCTCCCTTTGCAATCTAGCTTCTATCCTTGTACTCTAATCTTACAGACTATGGTTTCTGACCCCTCTCTGGGTTGGAGAATAAGGAAGGAAGGAAGGAAAGAGGGCAGGACATTTTTGCTACTATCAGGGTTGCATTGCTCTCTTTGGATCTGGTAAATCTTTAAAGCTGGAGTTTTCTCAGATACTGTACGTGATATGCTCTCCTCCTGTTCAAGATTAAGATCTTGCCTCAACCCCTGAGCATCTGGCAGTTCACCTCCAGTTTCTTTTTACTGAGTGCCTTTTGTTTCTCTAGGCAGCCTTTGGGTAGACTTCAATCAGGCTCTCTGGTTCATTTTTACACAAGACCAACACTCAGTCCATGGGATCCATCCACAGTTTGAATTTTCTATGTTTTGCCCTGACAAAGTCTCAATATAGACCCCTCCCAGTGAAGCAGAAATCTCCTTTGACCAGCTCTAAGGAGCAGTGACAAACTTACCTCCTATCACTGTCATTCTTCTGTCAAGAGGCCTGTCTTCATCGTCCCCCATACCCTAAAGGAACATACATCTCTGCATTCCCAATAATGCCCCTTTCCCAGGACCTCAAGATATTTTCGATAGTCTTACTCCTCAGCATTTTCAAATGAAGAAAGGGCAAGACTCACAAAATATCAGGAATTAGCTCTTCAAGTCTCTTTCCAAAGCTCCCTCAGTCTTCACTGTTAGTCCCTCTATGCCTGTGATGTTGGGGAGGGGTTGATCTTCTCACTGGCTTCCTGACCTCTCCTTTTGTCATGTCTTACAGCCCTTCACCTCAGACTTCACTGTGGCATCACATGTTTGTGGTCTTAGCTGAACATTCTTTTGGAACATTCTGTTGCATGTATTATGACACCCTGGCTGAAGTAGATTGATGACCTTGGAAGAAAATGATAGGTGACAGGAAAAAAACCAGAAAGCACAGATTGCCTAAGTCTTGGGTCCAGGTTGTGTATGATTCTGTTGCTAGCATGGTCCCCTCCTAAGATGTTTCTTTCAACAATATACCTACTCTTTGACACAAACATTTAAAAATTAGGTAAATTTCAGCTTTTATTAGTAACCATGTTTAGCTCTGTTTATTCTAAAATTAATCTATCCTTGTGAGGCCAATTCCACTGGAAGGAAGGAAGGGCCAGCAAACACCATCAGAGCACCAGCCAAGGGCTCCACCAGACTCTGGACAGGAAAGGCAAGTCCTTCCCAACACATAGGAAAGCCCGAGTTGAATGGGCAAAGAAAAGATTTGAGCAGGGATTCAGATCTAAATGTCAGATGGAGCATTGCCAGATGATTAGGGAGGTGGTCCAAGAGGCAGTCACTGAAGTTGACATATGATCACTTGCAACCAAGGGCTTAACATTTCTAAAACAAAATAATAATAACACTTTTTTTGTGTGTACTTTATGACAATTAAATTGTGTATGTGTGTGTGTGTGTGTGTGTTCATTATCTGGGTATTAAAATAATATAGTAATTGGGGCCAGTAGATGGTATGGTGGTTAAGGTGCTGGCTGACTACAGTTCGAGTCCCAGATCTGGTGGCTTGAAACTCACACCAGGCACATTTGCATGCATGCCCAAAATCCCAGGAGGAAAATAGAGAAGAAGGGATTGTGGCATGGTTAGCCCCCTAGGGGGTAATTTCTCACTTCTCATTGTCTATCTAGCGAGTGCATGCACCCTATGAGAAAATTCTAAAATAATAATATAAGAGAGTTATATTTGGTAATTTTCACATATTTTGATCAGTTTTTTTTAATTTGCCAGAGGGCATATGTACTCACCAGAAAGACACAGAGAGAGGGCGAGGGAAAAAGCATCTCCCAATAGGGCGTGGTCATATCATAAACCCTTCTTTTCCATTCTCCATCTTTTTGAGATTTGGGGCATGCATGCACATGCAGCTAGTGTGCTTCACCAGGCTCTTAGCTGTACCTGTCTCTACTACCGGTCAGTGGTATTCCTTTAAAGTTTTTTAAAAATGTGGTACTATCGTTAATAATTTTCTATCACAATCTCACCTGCAATCTTCTTCAAAGGGGCACTTTGTAGCCTGTGAAAATGTCTTGACTCTTTCAATGAATCTTCTCTGTAGATATTATTTCAAATTGAAAAGGTATTCTCTACATAGAACCTGAAGTACCTGATATGCTCCAAGAAAATTCTGTATATGGTGGGTATTGTAAATTTTAATTATTTTGGTATTGAAGTATATGAATATTTCAGCTGAAATATATACACAGGTAGGTGCTCAGTTTTCATAGCCCCAGGTTCTGACATGGGCCTCCAGCTTTGAGAACTGATAGCATCCCCCATGACGATATGGCTCAGAACTACCAGAAATCAGTTCCATCTTCTCTGAAGAACTGGTCTTCCATTCTTCCTCAGACACTTGTCCCCATGATTAGAACTTAGACCTTCTCATTCTCAAAATAAAATAAAAGATTTAATAGAAAGTTTCTCATAGTCCTTTGACATTGAATCATTCTTTGAAATTACATTTAGCAAAAGAAGCATGTAAATTACACGTATCTCAAAATAAGAGTTTAAAAATAAGCTAATTAATAATTCAGGTTATATTCTATCATTGTCATCATTTTACTTGAGAAGATTTGAAGAAACTCCCAGATGAGTATTTTCCTGCTCTTTGCTAGACACTTAACAAATGAGTAGAGTTGGTTGTTGAGTTTCTCTAAGATAGTTTTTCAAGCATTCTTTTGAGACCTTTTCCTTCATGCTCTTTATTAAAGTTAGTTTAACTTTAGCCAAGTCATTACTTTCTAAGAGACATCATTTTCTCACTGGCTGCCACTGTGGGTCACTTGGGATAAGGATGTTTGAACAAGAAGCCACGTTATCTTCCTCACTGTGCATTTGAGCCACCCTGTTACTTAAGGACCAATCAACATCTCTCTAAGCTTCACACTCAGTGGAGTTTTCATGAAAAGCTGAAATGTGGTAAAATAAATCATAAAAAGGTCTGTTGACTTTAGGTCAGATATCGAGGAACTTTTGATATGTAGTCATTAAGGCGAGTGGAAGTAAACATCCTCCTATCTATACAGGATAAAAATCGTTCACAATCATTTCTCTTGTTCCTTATCTCTGTCTTTCAATGAGGTGTCACCAAATGGCAGACCCTGGAATGCTGCCATTTCCCCTACTATGCATTCATCGACCGAGTTACCTGGCTCACTTTCCGTCTAGTTCTCCTATTGCTTAACAGCAATGGAATAACTAGTGTTAACTTATTTAATCAATACATTATCTTTCTTAATATACAGTTTCATAGAAACTAGTCTTGTAAAAATATAGGGAATCAATCTGGGTCTGTTTCCCTTTCTTTTCTTCTCTTACTTGTGACCCTTTGGTTATTAGAATTCCACTTCCCTGTGAAAATCATGATATTGAGTTACACAGAGTAAGAGATGATTTCATGGTCTTGTTTTAGCACATTGTTTACTTGGGATATTTTATTAGAATTGTTCCAAGAGCACATCCATCTATGTACAAATGTTCTATCAGATCTTAATATTTTATAATGTTGGTAAGAGACCTTTACTCCTTAAAGAAAAGATTTTATATAACTTCAAATATTGACATTGCTATAACAGGATGCTTGGTTCACAAAACAAGTGGCAACAGCTAGAGATGAAAGGAACAGTACAAAGGATTAAAAACACTGTTCTATATTTAGATTCAGATCTAAATGTCAGATGGAGCATTGCCAGATGATTAGGGAGGTGGTCCAAGAGGCAGTCACTGAAGTTGACATATGATCACTTGCAACCAAGGGCTTAACATTTCTAAAACAAAATAATAATAACACTTTTTTTGTGTGTACTTTATGACAATTAAATTGTGTATGTGTGTGTGTGTGTGTGTGTTCATTATCTGGGTATTAAAATAATATAGTAATTGGGGCCAGTAGATGGTATGGTGGTTAAGGTGCTGGCTGACTACAGTTCGAGTCCCAGATCTGGTGGCTTGAAACTCACACCAGGCACATTTGCATGCATGCCCAAAATCCCAGGAGGAAAATAGAGAAGAAGGGATTGTGGCATGGTTAGCCCCCTAGGGGGTAATTTCTCACTTCTCATTGTCTATCTAGCGAGTGCATGCACCCTATGAGAAAATTCTAAAATAATAATATAAGAGAGTTATATTTGGTAATTTTCACATATTTTGATCAGTTTTTTTTAATTTGCCAGAGGGCATATGTACTCACCAGAAAGACACAGAGAGAGGGCGAGGGAAAAAGCATCTCCCAATAGGGCGTGGTCATATCATAAACCCTTCTTTTCCATTCTCCATCTTTTTGAGATTTGGGGCATGCATGCACATGCAGCTAGTGTGCTTCACCAGGCTCTTAGCTGTACCTGTCTCTACTACCGGTCAGTGGTATTCCTTTAAAGTTTTTTAAAAATGTGGTACTATCGTTAATAATTTTCTATCACAAACTCACCTGCAATCTTCTTCAAAGGGGCACTTTGTAGCCTGTGAAAATGTCTTGACTCTTTCAATGAATCTTCTCTGTAGATATTATTTCAAATTGAAAAGGTATTCTCTACATAGAACCTGAAGTACCTGATATGCTCCAAGAAAATTCTGTATATGGTGGGTATTGTAAATTTTAATTATTTTGGTATTGAAGTATATGAATATTTCAGCTGAAATATATACACAGGTAGGTGCTCAGTTTTCATAGCCCCAGGTTCTGACATGGGCCTCCAGCTTTGAGAACTGATAGCATCCCCCATGACGATATGGCTCAGAACTACCAGAAATCAGTTCCATCTTCTCTGAAGAACTGGTCTTCCATTCTTCCTCAGACACTTGTCCCCATGATTAGAACTTAGACCTTCTCATTCTCAAAATAAAATAAAATATCCTCACCATACACTCCATTTCAAACAAGTACACAAATACTCAAGCCACCATTTTCTATTTTTCTCCTCACTCCTTCCATTACTTAACCAATCTTTCTATCACACCAGGACCCATCATACAATGATTCATCCACCATCTCACTGTCCCTCATCCCCTCATTTCTTCATTTCTCTCATTGTTATGCTTAATTCTATGATTCATCATTATGAGCACTCTCTTCCATACAGTCTCCTCCTTTCTTTTTTGGTTTTACCCTCTTGGTAAAAATTCCTGTTTTGATTAAATCGAACTTTCTCTCCCTACATCATGTAGTTGAACATAACCCAAAAAACATCCAAAACTATGCTGACCGATCTTAACTTTAAATGCACAGTGACCCCACAGTCATCAGAAAATTTCCCTAGTCTATTTTCTCTTCTACCCTCTTAGATGACTATCTTACACCTCTTCATTAAACTTTCAACAATCCTCCTTCATCTTCACTCTTAGCCAGTGTAATGGTTCATTTTATGTGTCGACTTAACTGGGGTAAAGAATACCCAGATGGCTGATAAGACATTATTTCCAGGTATGTCTGTGGGAATATTTCCACAAAAGATCATCATTTGAATAAGT